CAGGGTCTCCCTGTAGCCCCAGCTGTCCTGGGACTCACTATCAGGACTTGAACTTACACAGATCCGCTTGCCTCTGCCTCCCAAGTGCTGGGATTAAAGGCGTGCGCCACCCCTGGCAAAACATTCTTTAAACATTTGCAAATGATCCATTTATTGTGGAAACACGGGGAATGGATGGAGGATGTTCTCAAGTTCTACTTTCCACCTGTAGAGACAGCTTAGAAGGACCTCAAACAATGTGGGATGATGGCAAGACTTGGACTTCAGGAAAACTGGCCTCCTTGTCTTTCTAGAATCAGTGGATCTACAGTGATGAACACCAAATGACCACATCTAGCAGGAGGTGGTACGAGATCCCAGAGCCACAAAGTGGGGTTCCAGTTGACTTGCTCAATACAGTGGGCTTGGTTTCTTTAAATGAAAGCTACTGAAGTTTCCTTTTTAGTTCAAGCTCTCATCTTATATTTGACTTCTGCAGGTTTTGAGGTAGGGTCTCTCTATGTAGCCCTCGTTGTTCTGCAAGTCATGACCCACTCCTGCCTCAGCCTCTCAAGTGCTGGTGTTACAGCCTCTGCTACCAGAGCTAAATTTTTACTTTTGTAGGTATAGACCTTGGTTGACAAAGTAGTTGTCTCAGCTCTGTTGAGTTTTAGTTTGTGTGTGTGTTGTACTGGAGTAGGAGAGAGGAGAGAAATGCTTGTTCAGACAGTAGACCATTGTTATAGACTTACCAAGTGATGAGATGAAAATCAAAGTGCCTCTTAGCAGCACTTCAGTGGTGACCTGGATTCCGGCTCCTGGGAACCACTGAGATATCTAATGTTTTCGGTTTGCTCACCAATCAATTCCAGATTAGTTGTTCTCATTTAGATCTCATGTCAGCACTATATCCTAAGCAATATCTTTGCTAGCTTTTTGTGTTGAAGAACAAAATTTATATCATAGTCCTGGTAAGCACGTATATGTATATGAGTATCAAAATAAATGTTTCCCAGATCACTGCTAGCCTTTGCTACATGAGATGGCTCCAACATATTACAGTCTTTTCTAATGTATTTTATAACAAATCTAATAAATTTACAAACCTATGAAATTAATTTTTAAAACTTACTGTCCTAGTTTGTCTCTTCATTGCTGTGACAAAACACTCTGACCACTACCATCTTGGGGAGGAAAGGGTTTATTTGTCTTACATGTCCCAGGTCACAGTTCATCAGGGAGCCCAAGGTAGAAACTCAGGGCAGGAACCTGGAAGCAGAAGCTAGAGCACAGGCCATGTAGGAACTCTGCTTACTGGCTTGCTCCCTGGTTCCTGCTCAGCCTGCCTTCTTATGCAACACAGCCCCACCTGCCCAGGGGTGGCACCACCTACAATGGGCTGGGCCCTCCCACATCACTCAGCAATCAAGAAGGTGCCCCATGGACATAACCACAGGCCAGTCCAATGAAGGCAATTCCCCAATTGAGGCTCCTACAACCCAGGTGTGTCAAGTTGACACTAAAGCTATCCAGCACACTTACCATGGAGTCACTATGACCTAAACACCCTAGAAAATTTCATTTTCCAAGCTGAATATTCCTACATCCCTTGACTGCACATTTTCTTTCCCCCTCTAGGGTTCTCTCTCTTGGTGCTGATGATTTTCTAGACCATCCCTCTATTCTGTTTTTGGTTGAATTTTCTTACAGATATCACTGGTTCCCATAGCTACAAACTATTGTTACTATTGTAGCAATCAATAAGTAAACATCTGTAGGTCTGAGTGCTCTCCAGGTATGTTTCTGATAGCATTCTGACAATTTTCAGGTAATTTCTATAGGTGAGGCTCTACCTCGTGAACTCAGTGTGCCCTAAATCATCAAAGCCATTATTTTAGCTAAGTAATATAACTTCCCTTCTTAGTCAATTAGTGACTTTCTTATTCTTAGATTTACCCAGCCTTAATATTTCAGGTCATGATTGAACTCTTTCTTATGTACTCTTTTATCTTTTGTGAATACTAATGTTCATTTACCTTGTTCATCTCTGATAATCTCACTGATTAAAATAAAATAAATGATGCCTCATTACCTAAATAACTGCATCTGAACTTTTTACAATAGTAGAATTTTGTCTTAAATATGACTTTCCTCATTTCCCTAATGTGTGCTCTTTGTGACAGCTACTAAATGTTGATATCGAAATTATGACCTTCGAAGCAGCAAATCTTCACTGGTTCCTCAGAATCAGCTTCAGTTCGACTGTGACACTGACCATGTCATATAATGTCACTGTTAAGATCATATTTATTCTACTGTCACGATATTTGGTACTTTCTACTTTCAGAATTAAGATCTGGAGTCACCTTTAGTATCCCTGTCAACAACTGAAGAGTGACCACGTCAGATTGATGTGTCACCAAGCTGATTATTAACACACTTTAATACGCACATGAGTATTCGTTAGTACAGGGTTCTGATTCAGCAGGTCAGGAGCAGGCTCGAGATTTTGCATTTCTGCTTAAATCTTAGCAAATGGGAGGCTGCTGGTCCAGACTCAGGTGTTGAGCAGTAAGCGCTAATTCCTCTTTAGCCCACCCCTTCTTCTCTTTTCCACTCTTTAAGTGGAAGCCTTTACCCTCTCAGCCTCTTTACTGTTTTGTCTGTTGCCTGCCTTTCCCACCATATCCCTGTCCCCGAAATCTATTGTCTTGTAGTTTGTTACCTTCTCATGAATGTCCTAAGATGAAGGTGCTCTGAGGATGAGTCATGACAGGTCATTAGTCCCCGTAGACCTGGCTGGCCTAAGACAGGATTAGGTGCCTTGCTTAAACATTCCCAGTCTTCCTGATTTCATATGCTCCATCTTCTCTTCTAACATGTTTTTATGAAATTAATTTGGCTTCTCTTTATTACCATATGATGTTCTCTGCTCTGTGTTATAGAGCAGGAAGGCATAACCCAATAGTCAGGAACATGTTGGGGCCGTGCTCTTAGGCTTACCAGCCTCCAGTACTATGAACTTAACAAACTTCTATTCTTTCTACATTACTCAGTCTAATGAAACCACTCTATTCTTTATAAATTACTCATTATCATGTATTTTGTTACAGCAAAAGAAAATGGGTTAAGACACCTAGAGAGGGCAGGTGGAAATACCAGCTTTGAGAGCAGTACAATATGATTTTAGGAAGAAGTCCCTTTGCTCTTTATGAGAACATACTGTGTACATCCTTAGTAACTTATTAAGCAGTGATATGTTCCCACTACCTCTGAAGGTTGGGGAAATGGGCCTAAGGGACTGGATCACCCTTCCCAGGCTATATCCATACATGTGAGTAGAGACTGGACCTCAATCCAGGAGTCTTGTATCCATCCACCTCCACTTCTTCACCCCTTGCTGTTATGCAGAATTTTTCCTTGATCCTTCCCTTACCTCTGCCTGACCAACAAAATCAGCTTTCTTTGGAATATGTTATCTAATACTGAACAATAGAGTCAACAGTATTGGGAAGACGAATGAACAAAGTAAAACGGACTAAAATAGAAATGGACCACTTGCGACATAATTGCATCTCATAACCTAAAGGAGTCCTACAGGCAAAAGCCTGTCACTCACAGCGTCAGTGCAAAGTCACAGCTGAGACAACACCCAGCTCAGTGAGACCAGCACAGGAACGTCACAAGGACAGTAGGGGCCAGATTCCAATGAGAGATTCCTTCATTGGCCATTCATAACCAACTTTTTCTCCAATCAGCTTTTGGCTTCTGCAACCCTCCTCTTATAATCCCATGGAGATTTGCAAAATCAGACAATTTCTTCTTTAAGAAAGAAGATATTGAAAGTATGGACAGGAATCCAATGCAGGGTACTAGGTACCACAGTACACAGGATCTACTTTGGGATGGGCCAAGAAGAAAATCAGGAGTTGAGGCAGTAGCTTGGTATTTGGGAGAAAAGTAGAGTAGGTAAATTAATTTCAAGTGTGAAGGTATGAAGATGGATAAAGATTGGGTATATTACAACAAGGCACCTAACCAGGTGTACATTGATGTATCCTCCAAACTGATTATTAACATGCTTTAATGTGCACGTTAGGATTTGTTAGCATAGGATTATGATTCAACAGGAGAGGAAATAGGCTTGAAATTTTCAGCAAATGGGAGACTGCGGGTAGAGATTCACACTCTGAGTAGCAAGGCTTATAAGGCCACCAAAACCATCTCATGGACCCTATCCTCATGACCTCATATAATTTAAATTACCTCCCCAAAACCCCACCTCCAAATACCATGGGCATATGAATTAAATTCTCAACAAATAGGCTTTTGGAAGACACATTGAAACCACAGCAGTAGATTTTTGTGTCTTCTCAGACTTCAGGAACAAGCTGAAGGGTCATTAAGAAGTGGAGCAAGAAATATTTTCATTCTCTTTTACTTCTTTTTGCTGGAAAGATTGTAGAAGTTTTCCATGTGAGAAAACAATGTGTTTCGAGGAAAATTTCCAACAATTTTCTATCCTAAGGAAACAGTCTCCCTTCTGATGTGTGCGTGTTTTCCAAGGGGCATGAATGGTTCAGGAAGTTTGCACTGGACCGCTGATTTCAGTATGCCTCCTCATCCCACTCCCTTCCCCGTCATCCTCCAGAGTCCCCACATGTTTTCACGTACAAATCAAGAATCTGACAAGCACTCCAGCTAGCATGAATAGCAATGAAACAAGGCACACTGTGCAGGGAAGTTGGTTAAAGGTGGGAAACAAGAGGGAGAAGGGGGGGAGATTTTTCAGCAAGAGAGAGGCCCTCCCTCTGAGAGCCATTTGCAAGATGGACACCTCACCTGATGCCATTTCTGCATTTATGCCTCTTTGATGGTGAGGGTAGTCAATAAAATGCCTGCTACCTGGTTAGTAATGAGGCTGGTAGGTGGCAGCATGGGCATGCTCGGTCTGTGGGATTCATGAGCTGACAAAAATACCATTAGAAATTGACTCTCCACTTTTCTTTCTCTTTCCCCAGGGCAGCCACTGAAGTTTTGGCAGCATTGCTGAAATCCAGTAAGCATCTCTTTCAAAGAGGGGTTATCTCTTTATTTTTGTGAAAAAATATTCTTGTTCCATGACTCCATTCCAACCTGTAAACAAGCAGAGAGTTGTATGCCAAGTCTCTGGGAGAAGGTAGAGCACATGATGGCTGTTGTAAGTGCGTGACTGCAGAGGAGAGAGAGAGGAGATAGATAGATAGATAGATAGATAGATAGATAGATAGATAGATAGATACACACACACACACACACATTGTATATGAGTGTATTCCCTGCATGGATGTAAGTGGACCTGTGTCATGCAATGCCCATGGAAGCATAGATAGATAGATGATAGATAGATAGATAGATAGATAGATAGATAGATAGATAGATAGATAGATAGATAGATAGGGAGAGAGAGAGATTCTCATCAGGTGGACTTATTCATATATAAAGTGTGATAGTGTTCACTGGAATCACCTTAGATGGGTCTCTGGGCATGTCTGTGAGGGATTACCTTGATTGCATTGAGGTGGGAACATCTGCCTACTGAGGTTCTTATCATTCCTTGACGGGGATCCTGGACTGTATAAGATGGAGAAAGTGAGCCTAGCACTAGTATCCATTCATTGCTCTCTGCTTCTAGACTGTGGATGCAATGCAACCAGCTGCTTCAAGCACCAGGTGTTTTGATTTCCCCACCATGATGAGATGTACATTTAACGATGAACCAAGATAAACCCTTTCTCCCTGAGTTACTTTGGTCAGGATATTTTTATCATAGAATAGGAAAAGTAGCTGAGATAAAGACAACTGACTCTAAAAGGGGAGTGAATTGTCTATAGGGCCTTGGTGACGCCTCAATCCTTTTGTTAGACTATGCAGCTCTTAAGTGTTTTGAGGATAAATCCTAGGTTCCTGTGGGATTATCCAATGGGAAAAAAAGATTATGACTGGGTGGGCATCAGATTCTTGCACTTTCAACTTAGCTCATGACTGTATGTTTGAGCAGGTAGTGTGTTGGGAATTACTTGGACAATGTAGATGTTGAAAAGTTTTTATTAAAAAGCTGGCTCTTTCCTCAGCTTGTGAGTGATTGCAAAAGAATAGCTTGGAGGCTCTGAATTATTATGAATTTTTTTTTTTGCCTGGTAGCCTTAGCCTAATTACATCAGGAGTCAATTTCACATGTGTGGTATAATAAAAGGCATGATGCACTTGGGGGTGAAGTCATAGCTTAACGTTTTTATCCCCTCCTTACCTCTTCGTCTGTTTTAATTTGGTTCCTTGGAAACCAGCTTTTTCAACTGTGATTTTTGTTTGTCTATAGGGAATGTGAGGCCTGTGGGTAATAGGTGAACTTTAATAAAACTTTAAAATAAATAAATAAAAGTAAAAACACTTTGTCTGCTAGCCATATATCTCTGTCAACCATTAGCACAGAGAAAAAGCCAAACCACCGTTATAGACAAAACAGAAAAATAAAGATTGAATTAATTTAGTTTACTGGAACTTGATACAGTCCCAAGTCTGTCTACATGCAGTTTTACGACCTTCAGGTAGGGTGAAGGTAGTAGACCAGGTTGAAAAGAGAAGAGAGGGAGATCGTGAAGCTTTTGGGATGAAAAGATGTTACTTGTGGGTTCTAAGGAAGAGCTGTTGATTTCTTAGAGTGGCCTAATTTCGGGTTTCTCACAATCTACCTGCTCACTGTGTCAGTCTCCACTATAAAGCTTGGTGTTGGGTGAGGGAGTACTAAACTGCTGGATGTAGAGGAGATAAGGATTGACTAATGGATCGACCAGTGAGTAACACCCTTCGGGACAGTAGCTTTCTGCTGAGTCTTCCCAGCAGTCTTAGTAGTAGAAAACTTACCTACTACATGCACATTTTCTTTAGCCCTTAAGTTTAATGTCCTCCTATTAAATGTACCTGTGATATATAAAAATCTGAAAGTAGTCACATGCTCCTTAAGTATATTGATTAAGATCATGATATGTTGGCCTAGGAGAAGATGATAGTATGTGCAAATATGGATTGCCTCAGTCAAACTTTTTGGTCAGGTTTTCCAGACACTGGCCATGCTAAGTAAGCTGAGCTTGCTATGCAAGGGGTTCACCTCTCAGGGTTTCTAACCTCTACTCTCCCTATAAAACTTGGCTCTGACTCAGCTCCAATGAAAAAAAATCTTCCCTTGGTCACCAGGACAGGGTTAGATGGCCTTCCCACCTCGGTACTGATTTCATTGTACCGAAGTAACTTTCGTCCTGGTCTCTCAGCAGAAACTTTTGAGGGACATGCTCATCTTCATTGATCCATATGTCACTTGTATCAGTACATTAACAAGCCAAAAGTAAATATTTGTTGATTGCAATTAAATGAATAATTTATGATATTTGCCCATATGAAATGGAAATGCTTTCCCCCTATAACCTAAATCTAACAGTCCACGTCTGGAACCAACAACATAACATAGTTCTAATCTCTATTTACCTCTACTAATAGACTGTTAGGGAGTGGATAGCCCTCTCTCCTCCATATGAAGCAGGTTTTAGTGTCCCGTTAGGAAGATGTATAGGGTTATTTGCTAATTCTGCTGAGCTATCCATATAGGCCTTTGCCTGGGTCTCTGGTTATTTATAACATGAGACAGCCGGATCAGAGGCTCCCTAACATTCCTTCTGCTACTAAATACACGACCTTCATTTATTGCAGGATTTCTTATTCTTGGCATCACTGGCAGTTTGGACTGGATAATTCTTTCTGGTTAGGATCTCTGCAATTTGGAATATTTAGCAACATCCCTGATTTCTTCACACCAGAAACCAGTATCAAACAAAACTGCAACAAACAAAATTGTCTTCAGATATAACAACCCACCCAACCCTACTAGGGTCAAACTGCTTCCTATTACAAATCACAAATGCATATTTGGGCACACACATAAACTGAAATATACCCAAATTCCCAAAGGACCGCTCTCCAGATACCCTTCTGAACGTTCATATGCATTTTCTTCTTTCATAATTGATCTTAGATTCCTCGGCATCAGCATCACCCATTTAGGTTCTTAAGAGGTAAGAACATGAAAGATCATCATTATGAATATTCATAAATTACTTGGGAGGAAAACCAGCTGTTGAAGATCTTGAAGGTCTTAGAACAAGGTGGACAGGTAGATTTTTATCACAAGTGGCAACTCTACCATTCAAGTAGAAGGATTCTGAGAATGTACGTGAGCTTACCACAAGAGGGCTGCATTTAGATTATGAAGTCTGGCCACCCATTTGGGCATAGCAGTAGGAACATACCGGACAGCTGCCGTCACTGTTCTACAGGTCTAACCAAAGTCATGCACAGCATGGAGTGTCTGTGCATGGATGGCACCAATCCAGGTAGGCTGGAGTTGCTACAAGGCTCGAGTGTCATGGAAGTTTCTAGTCATTTATGTTGTCCACATGCTGTGCATAGCTAAGACCAAGTCAGTTGAGCTTAAATGCAGGGAGCATATTTCTGTCTAAAATTTAAAAGCTTATCTGCCCCTAATATCTTGGAATGCTTATTTGAACCTTCATCTATTAGAGTCTTACTTCTTTTAGGTGGTATTTATGCTGGCCTTGCTGTTTGCTTGTCAGGGAGTATAAAAATTGGCTATTGTAGTAGATCTCTGTAACTGCATCAAAAACAGAGGACATTGCCCCGCCTAAATAAAACTAGAACAAAATATTCACTACTTGGGGGCAGTCACTGTTCCGATGACAGTACTAGGGCAGGGTTGGGAATTTGAGGTTACCAAGACCCTATTAATCTGTGGCTGGCTGGAATCAATCCCTACAAGTGACAGAAAAAGCAGTACTTTGAGTTCTGAGAGGCTTGGAGCCTGCCCTCCAGTGACATGACAAAGAAAAGGGAAGAACTTTGGGCCACATTAGGAATATTTGTCTTTAGCTCTTTCCCTTATCACACAATAGCTACAGGAAAATCAGGGCAGGTCATGTGGATGGTAGGAGGAGAGAAATGAGGCAAAAGGCATCTTGAATCTTTCCCTTCTTGGGCAGGTACATTTTAAACCAAAGTCCAAGTCCTCTTGTCCAATTGTCTTGGCCATTTGAGAGTGCAATTAACAAATCATTGTGCATTCGAGAGTCCATTTATTTCTATGTTTTGGATTTGAATGATTTAATCCAAATTCTACATTTTCCCTCAAATCAATTCTTCTTTCCGTTCACACATGGAATATACTTCACTAAATGTTCCTGCACTGAGACCCTTCCCTTTCATGCTTTATTCCGTCCAAATTCCTTAGCTTCTTCTTATTAAAATTCAATAACACTTTGATTAAGAGTAGTACTACATCAGTTACTCATGTCATTTTCCTCAAATAATTCCAAACAGTGTCTTGTTCTCTCTCTCTCTCTCTCCTTCCCTCCCTCCCTTGCTCTTGCTCTCGCTCTCTGCCTCTACTGTGCTTTTGCTTCTTTTACTTCTCTCTGTCCTTCTACCTCATTTTCCTAACCCTCTCCTGATCTCATCATACCCTTGGGCTCTCCCTCTTTTTGATCCTTAACCTTCTTTCCATCAGCATTAAGCATAAATGTATTTATGAAAACTTGTGGCCCTGGAAGCAGCCCTTGAATGAGGTGCAGTAATGGGATGATGCTTGATTTGTGCTGGCCCCAGGGATGAATCTTCCAATAATGTCTTGACATTAACCTTGTTGCCCAGATTTAAAGGTCATAATCTGGCAACAAGGAAACATCAAGTTCAGGCCCTAAATCCTACTAAGGAAATGATGAGTCCACTTCAGACCTGTCTCCCACTTAAGAATTAGCACTAAGAGAAGTTTGCAGAAGTTAGGGCTTGGGGAGGAGGCTGAGAGAAGTTAGCAGAGAAAGAAACATGGAAAAGAAAAGAGTAAGTATGAGATAGAAGAGAGATAATGGGAAGTTTGGCAGAAAGAGAGACTTCTCACAGCTCTGCCTAGTTAATGTTTTGTCTGTCAGGCTCACGGGGAATCGCCTGCAGCAGGTT